TGGCCATCCCCCCTGGGGGGTGATTTCTCGCTTTCTGTCTCTCTGTCTCTCTCTGTCTGGCTGGCAAGCTCACGTGTCCTATAGAAAAAACCTCTGAAAAAAAAAAGAAAGAAAGAAAGAAAGAAAAGAAAGAAAGAAGGACAAAGTAAGAAGAGAAGAAGTCCTGGGAGAAAGAAGAATGAGGTATTGCTACCTAGGGAAGAAGTTTTGGGTGAAGACAGTTAATTATGACAGGGGCCACTGTGAATGAGCAGGCAAAGATATGAAAGGAGAGGCACTTGTAGTTGGAGGTGCGTGAAAGCCAAACTATTAGAGAAGAAAAAGTAGACACATACCAAGGAACCACAGGGCAGTCTTCACGAAGGATCCACGTCTTTATGTTCTTTCAGATAATGGTTAGCAAGGATTTTACAAAGAAATTCTCCCAAGGTAGCCACTATGAAGCGTGTAAGAAAGGGATAACCCATTTTATTACCTTTACTAATTACTAGTTAATTTTTGGACCATATCAGGGCCCACAGCATGAAGTGCCAGCTCCAGACCCCAGATCTTCCAGGCAACAGGAATCCTATAGTCCCAGGACCTTAAAGAGACACATGAGCTGAATATTGTACCCCCTCCCAACATTGTCCTCAACAAATATATTCATTTTCTAGACCTGCCATAACAACGCACAACAAACTAGATGACAAAGAAACAAATATATTTTCTCACAGTTCTGGAGATTAGAAGTCCATCATCAAGGTGTCAGCAGAGCCATGCTCCGTCTGAAGGCTCTAGGGAAAAACACTCGTGCCTCTTACTAGCTCTGGTGGCTTCTGGCAAGACTTGGCACTTGTTGGTTGTTAGCTGTATCACTCCAATCTCTGCCTCTGTCTTATATGACTTCCTTTCCTGTCTGTTCCCTCTTCTTGTAAAGACAATAATCATTGGATTGTTTACCCTGATCCAGCACGAACCTCTTCTCACCTAATTATATATAGACCCTAATTCCAAATGAGGTCATATTCTGGGGTCCCTGATAGACACAAATTTAGGGATATTATTCAATCCACTACATGGAATATGTAAACATCTCCTGAAAAACCAAGACACAGCTCAAAGAGTAAAATAGGCTGAATCATTTGACCAACTCACCCTCCACCTCCTCAATCCTCTTTCCTCAATAGTGCTCCCTGGAAATGGGTGTAATTAAAGGTATCTGGCTTGGTGGCCTGCCTGGAACAGTCTGTCCTGGGAAGTGTGCTACCCCATTGTTCACACTGAGTCCTAGGAGCCAGAGGCTCTAAATTCACTCCTGATGACCCAGGCACACTGGGTTATACAGCCTCAAGCCTGTTTATTCTTAGATGGAACTCATGTTTGGAACAAAGGGTGGTTACACTTTCAACTTCTGATTCGGCTCTGTGTTCTCAACATTCTGAGATGATGTCGTCATGGATTGATCTTTCCTTAAAGACTACTTGGATATAGCCCAGGGTCGCCACAAACTCACTCATCATCAGTCATTGTCCTTGAAGTCCTCACTCACCCTTGGACCAGACATCCAATGTCCACCCTACTCTCATCTACCCAACTGCCCACTTGGGATTTAAAACTCTATCCTTTCTAGGCAGGTAAATGGAACTTTCCCAGCAGTACTGATATACAGATGGTATCTGGCAACTACCCTTCAAAGGAGGCATATCAACCACATGTTTTTTTGTGTTTTTTTAAGGTACAACCAGACCCATCAGGAGCAAGTGAATACATGCTCCAAATTCCAAAAAGATAGAAAAATGAAGGAGAAAGAATTGTGGCATAACCATGGCCCATTGGGGTGTTTTCTCCCTTTCTCTCTTTCTCTATCTCTCTGTTTCTCTCTGGCAAGTACACATGCTCTCTGGCAAATTAAAAAAAAAAAAAAAAAGTACAGTCAGACCAGTCCAGAGCCAGACCTGGCAGCTTGAAAAACACCCCTGTTATGTGTGTATGCATGCTCAAAATCCCAAGAGAAGAATGAAGGAGAAGAGATTGTGATGTGGCCATTCCCCCTGAGGGGGGGGATTCCTCACTTCCTCTCTCTATCCAGTGAGCATACTAGCCCTGTGGCAAAAAAATCATGAGTATATTATGAGTATATTATGTTACATGGCCAAGGGCAAGTAAATGTGCTAATCAGTTAACTTTAAAATAGTGAGATTATCCTGGATTATCTGAATGGGCCTAATGTGATCACAAGGGACTTTAAGAGTAGAAAAGAGAGGCAGAGAGAGATGAAGGTGGAAGAGAGTACATAGAGATGTAACATGATAAAAAGGATGTGGGTGGCCTCTGGACACTAGAAACACAAGGAAATGGAGGGCAGAGAACAGAACAGAGCACAGTCCTGTCAATACCTTAATTTTAGGCCAGTGGGACCCTTTCCCATTGCTGACCTCCAAAACTGTAGGACAGTAATTCCATGTTGTTTTAAAGCCACTAAGTTTGTGGAAATTCACTATGGTAGTAATAGAAAATTAATGTCTATACTGAACATTTTTTCCTACTTTGTTTTTAAAGTATAAACCTACTTCTTAGAAAGATGGTAGGATAAGGCTGACTCCATAGCCTAGCCTTTAAAGGAAGTGGGATCCCACATGGCTAATGGCAGATTGAATCCCAGCTCCAGAGGCTTGAAAAATATGCTGGGGATGTGTGTGAATGCACCAAAAATCCCAATGGGAAAAAGAAATGGAAGGGATTGCAGCATGAACACGCCCCATTGGGGTGGGCTTTCTCTCTCTTTCTCTGGTGAACATGCATGCCTTCTGGCAACCAATTAATTAATTAATTAATTAATTAATTAATTTTAAAAAGACAGTGAGATGAGTGGACATGGGTAAGGGCTGTGTGCTCCTAGGTTAGCAGTGGGTGGCAGTGGGTTAGAGACAGGTGCACGGGTGCCATCTCCTCTGCCACTTTACTTGGGAGGACTCGGGCTAGTCTAGGAGATACTAGGAAAACGGGATTTTCAAAGCTAATTATGAAAACATTTGTCATTGGAATCAGTGGTGTGACAAATGGTGGCAAGACAACACTGGCAAAGAATTTGCAGAAACATCTCCCAAATTGCAGTATATCTCAGGATGATTTCTTCAAGCCAGAATCTGAAATAGAGACAGATTAAAAATGGATTTTGCAGTATGATGTGCTCGAAGCACTTAACATGGATGAAATGATGGTGGCCATCTCCTGCTAGAGGGAAAACCCAGGGCACTCTGCGGTATCAAAAGAGTGGGGAAGTGCTGAGGAAATTCCCATCTTGATCATCAAGGGTTTCCTTCTCTTTAATTACAAGCCGCTTGATACTATATGGAACAGAAACTATTTTTTGACCATTCCGTATGAAGAATGTAAGAGAAGGAGAAGCTTCCTGTGTGTTTTGATAGTACAAGGGTCTACGAGCCTCCAGATCCCCCCAGGGTACTTGGATGGCCATGTGTGGCCCATGTATTTAAAGCACAGATGAGAAATGGAGGACATCACATAGGAAATTGGTTGGCAAGTATCAACATAAAGGTGGAAAGCAGCAAATCCTTCCTGCAGTGAATTAGGAAATTCAAAGGAATGTATTTCAGAACCTTACCCAAGAAACATATAAGACTCTGGTACAATGACAGCTGTGTTTTGTAGGTGCGTTTGTTATCACAAAACAGGCATCTACCTTAAAGAGTTGTTTTCATCCAGAAAGTGCATAGATGTAGCATAGCTCACAAATAATAACTCAGTTCTGTAACAAAGATGATCTTTCTGACTAGAACCCAGAGTAAGAAATAATTACATTGCAATCATATTTGTTTTCATATATGCCTATATTCCATTGTGTATGTTTGTGTATATGACATTTGTGTGTGTATAAGTATGCATATATGTGTGTTTGTATATATGAGTATACACACATCAAGTGTTATAAATAATTGACCTTACATATGCACTGTGATATTTTTCTATTTCTAAGGATTTTTTTTTTTAATATTGGTCACAACACATGGTTTGGAATATGCTGCTCTCTATCGTCCCACACCATCTCATTTCACCTGCAGATAACAACATTACTAGATATAGCAATCATGTGGAATAAAGCATTAGTTTACTTAAAAAAAAAAAAAAGACAATGAGATGAGGGAGCAAGAAATGGAGGTGGGGTTATGTGACAGTCCACCCACATTTAGATAATTTCTCAATGGATTATCTTAGTTAATGTATATGACAGGCCCTACTAATCATCATATCTCATAGGACTTTACACTTTTCCAAGGACTTTTGATACTTTTTTAAAATTTGATCACAATAACTTTGAGAAGCTATATAAGTACATTGCTTCCCTTTTGACAGGTTAAAAAAAAAAATGAGTCACAAAGCAGTTTCCAGAGATAGGAAATGACAGAATCAGCATCTTACTTTTGTCATTTTCAGGAATTATCCTAGCCTTTTATAGAACTTGGCTCTCAGAGTGCTAAAAACAGAGAGCCTAGTTTTCTAAGGACATTTGTATGCTTGCAGGCATTCTGATGCCATATCTACTGCTTCTGAAAGGAGTTCCAAAATACCAAATTAATATAAAGTTTCCCTCATCAGGCTTCTAGACAATGACCTGAAGTCTAATAGGCAAGCAGGTCTAAGATATTGCAGACATACCTTTGTGTCATACTTGCTGCCAAGGGTACTCTGAGACATGGTAGGTTCTTTCCATCCAGGACTCACACCTAACCTGCTCTCCACTCCCTCCAAGTCTCCATCCTCTTCTGAACCCTGGCCTCAGTCCTATCGGCAAGGGGTTTGCCATTTGACTGACACTAAGAATCTTTGGCTTGCACTCATGCCCCTGGTCTGTCCTACTCTGGATGCCTAGTAAAAGATCTCGTCCTATTGGTGGCTTCTCAATGTCCAACACTTCACACAAATCAAACAGACACATGCTACAGTTTCTTCCATGTTGGCTCCATCCTCAGAGAAGCTCATCTTTCACATTGGGAAGATGGCTACAGTGGCTTCAGCTTTCTCCTTCACATTCAGACCTAATAGGAAAAAATGAATGTATTTCTCCAAAAGAGTTTCAAAGGAAGTTCCAGAATTTAGTCCTATTGGTTTAGATGACTTAACTCTGAGCATACGAGGGGACTTCAAAATGTTTGTGGAAAAATGAATTAAAGTACAAGTTTATGGGGCCAGCAGGTAGCATTGTGGTTAAGGTGGCTGGATTCCACATGGCTGACTGCATGGTTCAAGTCTTGAACCAAGTGGCTTGAGAAACAAGCCTGGTGTGTGTGTGTGTGTGTGTGTGTGTGTGTGCCTCCCCTCTACCCAAAAGAGAGAAAAAAAAAAAGGAAAAGAAAGTACAAGTTTTCTTTGGTGCAAAAAGTTTGAAATTTGTGCACAATTTTTTCATATGTTCTAAACTTCCTCAAATTCCTATTTTAGAATCAATCATTGGTGCTATGTGAAAGCAGTGCTGTAATTGGCCAGCATCCCCCTAATGCAGAGAGTTTATGGTGTGTTTCACCAAGTCCAAACAGATCACAGGAAGTGGAATAAATCTCAGAGGGGCATATAGTAACTGTTCACCAGGAGGGGTTCGATGGTGATACACTGTAAAAAGCAACACTCTGAGAAAGATCTGGATTCATGTCTGGAGATTTCTCTGAGAATACTGAACATGTGTGTTCCCATGATCCAGGGCTGGCTGAGGCTGAGGGTAAACCACAGCATCAAGACCTGTTAGGGGTGCTTGTTACTCTCTTTTTCTCTGTCTCCGTCTCTGTCTTACTCATGGAAGAAAGAACTACAGAAACTTAAAAAAAAAAAATTAAAAACAAAATATCCTCCAGAAATTTGCTTACTAAATAGATAGCAACATATCCTTTCCTTTAATATAATGTAATAATCATACATTTATGTGTGTTATTTATTTAACATGTCTGCCCTGTAACACTGAACAGTGACCTTGATAGGAACCATGCCTCCTTTTTTCACTCTTCTAAGCAGAGCATCTAATAAATCATTGCTCACTGAACAAAGGCTTCAAAATTTACATCCATGGTCACGAACTCTCTCCTGAGATCCAGATTTATACTTGAGCCTGTCAGCCTCACCTGCATCTCCATAGTTCTCTCAAATTCAATATATCCCAACTCATTATCTCTAAAATCAACCTCAATATGGTCAAAATCTTTCCCTGAAATGTGTTCTTCTTTTGTCCTTTATTTTGGCGGAAATAAAGGTTTTTGGTTTTGTTTTTGTTTTAGGTTTTTTGCTATAGGGCGTGTACACTCACCAGAAAGACAGAGACAGAGAGACAGAAAGCGGGAAATCTCCCCCCAGGGGGGATGGCCATGCCGTGATCTCTTCTCCATTCTCCCCTCAGGACCTTGGGCATGTACGCACATGCACCCGGCGTGAGTTTAAGCCACCAGGTCTGGGACTCAAACCGCAGTCAACTACATGGGAATTCAGTGATAGTCATTATTTAACCGCTGGTACTGGAAATAAAGTTTAAATGGGAAAAAAATGACACACACACACACACACACACACACACACGCTAGTTTTCTTTTCTAGCTGCTCGTTATCTGTGTCTACGCACTCTTCTCACTGCCTAGTTTCTCAGTACAATGAAGTATTTAACATTCATGACA